GGACCCAACACCACAGGATGGTTGGGAAAAACACACAGATTAGTCGTCGATTGCTGAGAAAATATGGGAAACGATGGGAAGTGGGGGGGAAGACAACAGCCCAGAAAATATAGAAAAAGATGGGAAGTCGGGGGGGATGAAAAAACCCAAAAAACATGGAAAGATAGAGGGAAGGCTTTTGTTTGTGTGCTTATTTGTGTGTCCCAGGGCCCCTTCAACAAATTCTGCAAGCATGCATGTTCGACGGTCCGCGCGGATTTCTTGGATCTGCGCTGGCGCCCCCCCCCCCCGGCGGCGCCTCTGGGCGCCGAACCCGGGCGGGCTCTCCTCGCGCCAGGGGGGAGGGTCCGGCGCAGATCCTTCAGAACACCACGCGGACCCCTCCGGGTGTACGTCTGCGCAGCTTGATCTTCCTCTAGAAGAGCCTCCGGGCCAACGCCTACCCCCAGGCTTTGCGCACGCCGGGTCGATGCCGGGCTGCATCCCGCCAGCTGGGCTCGGGCCGGGCCTCTCGGCACGGCGGGCTCCGGCTGGCCGTCGAGTCTGCCGCTCGGGGGCCCCGTGGCGCAGCCAGGGAGCGGGCCGCATGCGTGCACGAAGGGCTGCGGAACCGGTTTCACCAAATGTATTTTTTGCTACGGAACGAATCCTGTAGAGAATCCAGCGGCCTGCGGCACACTCCCCGCCGAGGCGTCATGGCCGCAGCGCAGCAGGGAGATGGCTGAGTCCCGGGCCCGTTCGGAGTCAGTGCCTGGTGTCTTGAGCGCAGCCTTCCTGTCTGCTGCTCCGCGCTCCCCCTCTCCCTTCCTCTTGGCGGCGTCCGTGGGGCGTCCGAGGGTCCTCTTCACGGCACCTGGTGCTCCCGTGGGGGGTCCGCCAGGGGTCTCGGAGCCGTGTCTTGGGCGCGACGGTTCTGCCGAGCTCTCCCGACGAGGCTCGGCTGAACCAGCTCGTGGTCGTTTGGGGTCTCATTCGGGTCGCTCTGAGGGGGTGGTCTTTCGGATGGAGTCGGAGGTTGATAGACCTTACCAGCCTCGAACGTATCCCTATCCCTAAGATTGACACGCCAAAAGGCGATGACAGTCTTAGGGGTTCGCCCTCAAAAAAAAGGGAATCCCTAAGATTGGCATCGTGATGAGGAGGTGCCCAGCATAGGGATAGGGATATGTTCCAGGCTGGTAAAGACCTACCCTGACACGTCGATTAAGAAATCGGCCGTTTTCGGTTTGCGAGAGGGCGTTGCGGCCGTCGTTTTGGCGGGTCCAGGTCCGTCGGTTTCGGTCCCAGGCTGTTTTTACTAAGGGGAGGTTTACTAAAGGGAGGTTTGTCCACCGCTGATGGAGGAGAAGCGACACCAACACCAACCGGGGGGTCACCTCCAGCCAGGAGGACCACGATGCCTCCCAGAGCTGGAGCCTGGGGATGTCCCGAGCGAGAGGGGGGACCACACCACCAGGGGACCCCTCCGTGGCTCCTCCCGCTTGTGGTTCCTGGTGGTGTTGGTGTCGGTTTTCCATGTTCCTAGGTCTTGGGACCGTCTCGAGGCCCTCTCGGGGTGGTCTGCGGTCTCTGCCGAACAGTTTTCTGGTCCCGGAAAAAAACTGGAACGCGCTGCAGGCAAAGAGCATACTACCTGCAAATTCTTCGTGGAGTCGACACTTGCCTCACAAGGTTTCTCCTGGGGGAGGTCCTGGGGCGCCGCCTGGAGGCTTCCTGGTTCCTCTTGACGCAGCATTGGCATGTATGATATGGTCTTGCAGGGATTGCCGGCCTGTATAGTGTTAGGCTTCGGACTTACTTATCGAATATTCCGATATTCGTACAACATGTATACAACCATGTTTATCTATGCATCATGTACATATATGTGCTAACCAGTCCTACGCTAAGCAGTCAGTCATTGCACTGTGAAGGCGGATGCTATGTAGTGGTATCCACCTCGCAGATTTTGAAATCGTCCGCAATTCTGCTCGCGTAAATAACCCAACCTCCCACACGCAACTTGTTTTGCACAATCCATGTGGCCTTGACTGCAAATCTTTGCGTCTGCGCTGGCAGGCAATCTCGCTCGCGGAGCGGCCAGCGCGCGTCGTAGGTCGCGCTGGCGCGCGGGAACTTCAGTCGGGTCGGTGACTCAGGCGGGCACGGTATCATGATGATGCCGACAACGGCGGCCATGATCATGATGGCAGCAGCGATGGTGGTGGAGACGGCAAACATGGACGGCGGCAAGGTCAATGACAGCGCCGATCCAGGTGATGACGATGACCACGACGACGTCCACGTGTCGGTGATGACGGCGATTGGCCACTGATGGCGGCAGTCGAGGCCTCTTTGCAGGCTATCTTGAGCCATGCTCGGCTATTGGCTGTCGGAGGCTATCTTGAGCCATGCTCGGCTATCTTGGGCCATCTTGAGGCTGCCTTGAGGCCTGTTGGAGGTCTGTTGGAGGCTATCTTGAGCCATGTTTGGCTATCTTAGGCCATTTTGAAAACCATAT